AAACTAGAAACACAAGGAGCAGATAGCTTCCTGGGAATGTACATCAAGAATTACTGCAAGCAGTTGGTCAGCATAAAAAAGCAAAATGCATCTGGATTCCCTTTATATTCTACCACTTTGCATAGCCAAGAGTGAAATCCCTGATAATGGAGACACTTTGCAGAAAGACACTGAGAGGCTAGGGCTAGGCTTGACTCTGCTAGCCACTTTGGAGAGGGGTCAAAATAGTGGCCATTGCCTTTCTACAAAGTTAAGTATGAGGCTTGGTATTTAGAACAGGGGATTCAAACTCTTCTTATGGAATGCTGAGCTTGCAGCATAGTTATACCAAGGTAAAAAGGTCTTGCTATTTTTGAGGATATTTTGATGCCATCTGTTTGATTCAGATCAACCCAGATTTACTGATTATTCTAGGCATAGCTTTGTGCCAGGCACTACAGGGGAACAGAAATGCATTTGATATGGTATCTATTCTTTTTTTTTTCTTTTTTAAAATCTTTATTGTTCAGATTATTACAGTTGTTCCTCTTTTTTCCCCCCATAACTCCCCTCCACCCAGTTCTCACCCCCCCCCATCTCTGGATCAGTCCTTGTTCATCAGTTTATGATGTTCATTATATTCCACAAATGAGTGAGATCATGTGGTATTTATCCTTCTCTGACTGGCTTATTTCACTTAGCATAATGCTCTCTAGTTCCATCCATGGTGTGGCAAATGGTAAGAGTTCCTTTTTCTTCTTCCTCTTCTTAAAGAATACCTTTCAGCATTTCATATAATGCTGGTTTGGTGGTGATGAACTCCTTTAGCTTTTTCTTATCTGTGAAGCTCTTTATCTGACCTTCAATTCTGAATGATAGCTTTGCTGGATAAAGTAATTTTGGTTGTAGGTTCTTGCTATTCATCACTTTGAATATTTCTTGCCATTCCCTTCTGGCCTGCCAAGTTTCTGTTGAGAAATCAGCTGACAGTCGTATGGGTACTCCCTTATAGGTAATTGACTTTTTTTCTCTTGCTGCTTTTAAGATTCTCTCTTTGTCTTTTGCTCTTGGCATTTTAATTATGATGTGTCTTGGTGTGGTCCTCTTTGGATTCCTTTTGTTTGGGGTTCTCTGTGCTTCCTGGACTTGTAAGTCTATTTCTTTCACCAGGTAGGGGAAGTTTTCTGTCATTATTTCTTCAAATAGGTTTTCAATATCTTGCCCTCTCTCTTCTTCTGGTACCCCTATAATTCTGATGTTGGTACGCTTGAAGTTGTCCCAGAGGCTCCTTACACTATCTTCGTATTTTTGGATTCTTTTTTCATTTTGCTTTTCTGGTTGGGTGTTTTTTGCTTCTTCGTATTTCAAATCTTTGACTTGATTCTTGCGCTCCTCTAGTCTGCTGTTGGGAGTCTGTATAATATTCTTTATTTCAGTTAGTGTATGCTTAATTTCTAGTTGGTCCTTTATCACAACCTCGAGGGTCTCATTAGATTTCTTCTAGTTCTCATTAAGTTTATCGACAGTTTCTAGAAAATTCTTGAAAAACCTTAAAAGTGTGGTTTTGAACTCTATATCCAGTAGTTTGCTTTCCTCCATTTCTGTCATTTGTGTTCTTTTTCTTTGTCTCCGCATTTTTTATGCTTCCCTGTGTTGATAAAGTGGTTTTCTGTGCTAAGTGTCCTCTAGGGCCCAGTGGTTCAGCCTCCCCAATTACCTGAGGAGGACACTCTTGGTGCACCCCCTTGTGGTCTTTGTGCACAGTCTTGTTGTAGTTAAGCCTTGATTGTTGTAGGTATCACTGGGAGGAATTGACCTCCAGGCCAATTGGCTGTGAGAATCAGCTGTGTCTGCAGTGGGAGAACTTCTGTGCTGGAGACACCCCTACGGGGCAAGACTTGCTTCAATGGGGCTTTGGTGCTCCTGGTCTCTATTCTTAAAGACCTTAGAATATAGTGCAAGAGCCAGATAATTATGATAGCAGCCAACACTTTGCCTACATTCTTGCAGGCACTATTCTAAGGTTTTTATATGCATTACAACAGCCCAATGTGGGTACTATTTTTCACCTCTCAAAATGGGGGAGGAGGAAATTGAGACACAGAGAAGTTAAGTAATTTGCCTAGTGACACATGGCTAGTAAATGATAGCACCAGGGCTGAAACCCAGACACTGGTTCTAGAGCAGGGGTGGGCAAACTTTTTGACTCGAGGGCCACAATGCGTTCTTAAACTGGACCGGAGGGCCGGAACAAAAGCATGGATGGAGTGTTTGTGTGAACTAATATAAATTCAAAGTAAACATCATTACATAAAAGGGTACGGTCTTTTTTTTTTTTAGTTTTATTCATTTCAAACGGGCCGGATACGGCCCGCGGGCCGTAGTTTGCCCACGGCTGTTCGAGAGTCTTTGTTCTTAACTTTATACTGTAGAGCAGTAGTTCTCAAAGCCTGGTCCCCTGATTAGCAGCATCAACCTCACCTGGAAACTTATTAGAAACTAGAGGCCGGATGCACGAAATTCGTGCAAGAGTAGGCCTTCCTTCCCTTGGCTGCCAGCACCAGCTTCCTTCTGGCACCCGGGACCCAGGCTTCCCTCACAGCCCCGGCTTCGTCCGGAAGGACCGTCTGGTGTAATTAGCATATTATGCTATTATTATTATAGATGCACATTCTTGGGTTCCACCCAAGACCTATTGAATCACAAATTCTGGAGGTGGGGCTCAGCAACCTGTGTTTCATTTTTTAAATATATTTTTTATTGATGTCAGAGAGGAAGAGAGAGATAGAAGCATCAATGATGAAAGAGAATCATTGCTCGGTTGCCTCATGCACGCCCCACACTGGGGATCAAGTCTGTAACCGGCATGTGCCCTGACTGGGAATCAAACCATGACCTCCTGATTCATAGGTCAATGTTCAACCATTGAGCCACACCAGCTGGGCTCAGCAACCAGTGTTTTAAGAAGTTCTCCAGATTATTCTGTTGCCTGCTGTTTGAGAACTTCTGCTAAGCAAGGCAGACTGTGATGTGGGTCAGAAATTAATCTCTCTATGGTTAGGGAGTGGGTATGGTCTGTGTCTTAAGTTCCTAGCCTTCTGCACTGCATTTAGTGTAAAGTAGGCATCAAAAATGCATATGGATGAATTCATATGAATGAATGTAAGGGAAAGGTGATGTTTGAGCTGGGTCTCTTACCACCTATCAATTGCAACAGACCAAATGAGAGGAATCTTCTTAGAAACTGTGAGACTAGCAAGGAAGTGACATACTTTGAGCAAAATATAAGGGTCTACACTACCAAAAGGAGCTATCAGAATGGCAGGAGGATCATGTGAGAGTAGTTAAGGAAGTAAACATGTCAGGATTTGGGGAACAGCTGAGTTGGGCGGGGGGGGGGGGGGGGGGAGGGGGGGGGGGAGAAGGAAAGGAGAGAGAGAAACTTCATTTTTGGGATGAAGATGCCATTTGCAGAGACAGGATGCATAGTACAAGCACGTGTGTGGGGTAAATATAAAGAGTTTGATTTTGGACTCTTTAAATTTGAAGTGATGGTAGGATATCCAGGTGGAGCTGTCCAGCAGACACTTGGAAATGTGAGTGTGAGACTTGTGTGGAAATGGAGATTTGGAAAGATAGTTGAGCCATAAGAATGGATGAAGCCTTCAAGGGGAAAATGAAGAGTGGAATTAGAAGAGAGCTGGGTTTGAAACCATGGTGAACAATACTGACAAGAACTTAGGCACTAGATCCCAGAAAATGCTGAAGCCAAGGAGAAGGCTAAAAAAGGAAGGAGAGGCATAGTGTCACATGTTGCAGAGAAATAAGAATGGAAAATTATTCTTTGAATTTCGACACAAAAAGTCTTAAGTGGTAAGGACAGAAGCAGATTGACTGAGTGAGTGAGCGAGCAGTAGTGAGAAAGTGGAGACAGGTGCTTCCAGGTCCCATCCACAGAGGTCTGTAGCCGCACTTAGGTTGAAACTGTGACACCTTCCAGGGTAGGCAGGGTCTCTCATATCTGTGGTCTCAACGCCCAGCACTCAGCCTGGAAAAGAGAGTGGCGTCAGGGAGTTCAGTGAGTCAGGGACAGAGAAAGGCTTCGGGGAGGTAGTCGCTTCGCAGCCCAAGCGTGAAGGATGAGAGAGATTAGGAGGAAAGGTGGGAGGCAGGGCCCCTCGGTGATGGGGTGCTCGGAGTGTTGAGGGGGACCAGGGAATGAGGTGGGGTTTCTGTAATGTGCGCGTGACTCTGTGAGAAGAGGGGAGGCTATGTGTATGATTGGAGGGACCTATTTGGGAAAAAAGAAAGGGCCCGCGGCTGCTTCAGGGGGTGTGGGAGTGTCCCCATCCCAACCCCGCCCCGCCCCACTTACGCCACTGCGCGGTAACGCTGCGCCTCTACCGAAGCCCTTCCTCCAGGCTGCAGGGCGACGGGTGACCGCCAGGGG